AAAAAAAAAAAAATTAAAAATAATTAATTCCTAATTCCAATAAATTTCCTGAAGTTAACTATAAAAGATATTCATGTACTAATTCAATAGCCTGATATTAGCTGTAATCCATAATATTATCAGCATTACACTAGTAACAATTACAGTGGCAATACATAACTACAGTGTGTTTTGAGGGCAGTATTTTAATAAGGTAGGTGTTTAGTTCCCTGCAGCATATAAAACTGGTGATTTTGACTGCAGAGCTGCTTGGACTGGAAATCACAACAGTTGCCAGTAAGGTTTAGAAAGTGTGTGCCAGGCAAGGGAATCACTGTTCAATGTATTTACCCTCTGGGGAGGTAAAACACAGATGGGGGAGCTAGGAGTCTTCTAACATTTAGCTGATACATTAGTGGGTAGCAATTCTGCTTCAGGGATGTTCAAAGTAGTTCATCTACCAGTTGGGAATTATTATGGGCACTAGTACTGAGGATTAGGTATGATAGAACAATAAGGGATTGTGGAAGTACCACTATCCTCCCCCCCTCCCACAGAAAAATGTTTCATAATCTTTGATACCTTTTTATAGCTATGTCTCTCTTAAGAAAACAGTTGTTCCGGATTAATCAGATGTTTTCAACATACGTACTAAGGCACTTATCTTGAGGTAGCATTCAACTGCCATAGACAAATATGACCTCGTAATATATATTTTGACCGAAATTACGTAAAATACCATATCTTCTCTACATAAAAAGTAGTACTGTTACTGTGTGTATTCTTACCAGTTAGTTGATGTGAGAAAAGCTTGCTAAAGCATTTGCATTTGTATTTCTGTACTGGGTAAGCAAATGCAACGTTAGATCTCTGGGATTATTTTTACGCTATGAGAGATAAGGCTATGCTTTAAAACTTTAAATTCATGATGGAGGAAGGATGATCACACTCAGAGGAAAAGAAGAGCATGGTCCAAAATAAGGAGAAGGCAACTCAGTTTCTGTTGAGCTATGCCCAGTTATTATCACCTGATTATTTTTACCCTAGCAATCTCACCTGGACATACATTAAATTTTTCCTGTTTTTTTCTATAGTCTCGAAGTTAAAACATTTTCCAAAATGTACAAACAAACAGCTAATTTCATTGCACTGCTGTCTGCATGCAGTGAAATAAAATATGATTAGCTAGCTGAAAATGTGTAACTTTTCAATCAGTAGTTAATTCAGTCCCAAAACCGTATTCATATAGGTTTGAAACAAAATTGACCTTCTTGTTTATGTAATCTGTACATACAATAAGTGCCTGATTCAGTAACAAGCTACTCAACAATGTAGATTTTCTGAGGCACAGGAAAAGAAGAAAAATCTAGTACTCTTCTGAATAGAGCCATCACCTGTGCACTGCTAATGCTCTGAAATTTCTGCATTTGGAAGGGGCAAAACTAGTACAGGAGACAAATTCCCCACGTTACGCAGAAGACAAAATTCTCATGGTCAATTGTAGAGCAGCTAAACGGAGAGCTGCAGGAACGGGGAGGGGTAGACCTCTTCTCACGGCTGTCCGGCATCATTCCCCGTGGCTGCTGTTGTCTTTTAAGTGTAGGAAGTTTTGGGGCTTTACCCCAGAACGGACACTAGAAGATACATGTTACAGTGGACCCTCTGGGCTCTGCATCCACTGATGCACGAGAAGCATGTGCATAGCGGGATTCCACTTTGCATGGTGGATGTGTACCTTTTTATTCCCTGCCTTTCATAGCTGCAGCTGAAGGCAACTGAATTATGGCTGTTTCTCTGTCAGAAGACTGCCAGTGGCAGAAATGGAGTAGGATTTATCTTTAGTGCAGGAGAGCCCTGTCTGAAGGCCCAGTCAGGATATGTGCTGGATATCCACAGCTCTCATTGATAGCTGCGTGAGCTAAAGTTGTTCTGCATCTCACAAAACTGTCTTCATTGCGAAGAACCTGAGGATATGTGGGAGCTTTTGGCTTTGCTCTGAAGTTTCTGAGGCTGTTCTGTGGTATGTTGAATACTTGCTTCTGCCTTCAAACTGGAAAGGTTTGATGGCAGAGTGAAACAACTAGAAATCCACAGGTATGAATTTACCTATGGGTGGAATTTCTTTTTACGTGCATATGTATTTTATTTTGGTATAATTTTGGACTTTCTGCTCTTAGTTTCAAAAAACCTTTTTGTCTTTAACTTAGTATATCTTTCTTTACTTAAATGTGTAGTAGGAAGCTGAATTTCACTCTTCAGAAATGCCTCCAGCTAATGAAAATACCGTTATTGTATTCACTCGGTATTTACTGCATGTTAGTGAGTGATGTGCCATTAACAAAATCCATTGGCTTGCACACCTGCATTTTCTTCGTATGTGCATGGGAGAAGAGAATCAAGTGGTTCACTCTTCCAAGGTGACAGCATTGTAAATCAGTGGAATGGTGTCTTGTTGAATCTGCACCCAGACGGAGGTGGACTTGAAACAATAGTGCTGACAGAGGTGTGAATCCTCTCACCTCATCTTAATGGGGTGTTAAATTAAAAACTTAGTTATGACCATATAAACATTGTTGTTAAGACAGTTGTCCACAGCACACAAACCTAACATGAGTCATTGAACACATACATTTTACAATATATTAAAATATTTATATTGTTAATGTGTAATATAATAGAACCTACTGGATTTATTTCTAAAATTTGGAAATGCATTCTGTCTTTTAAATTACTACTTAAGTGTTTAGTTTATTGATGTGTGGTGTCATTTACAAATTCACAGCTGTCATATATGGCTTATTTAGATTGAGTGTGATTTCTCTTCTTCAGAAATGCATGTGAAGTACATTATAATTTTATTCTATTTTAAATAATCAATTTTAGGGTATGTGTATATCTTGCAATGTACTGCTGAACTGATTCTGAACAGGATAGCTCCAGGACCTTTGCATGGTCTGGGAGTGGTAGCTTTTGCCCCATGTACCACACTTATTAGCTTAGAAGAATTAAGAGTGTTATCACAAAAGGTAGACTTTACTCAAAAAAAAAAAAAAAAAAAAAGAAAAGAAAAAAAAAGCGCGCACCTGTGTCTTCTCAGGTGCTCCTGTGGAGCTAAGGTGCATCAGATATAACCTCACACTGGCAGGTCTGATACATTTCTTTGCAAAGCTGCTGTGCATGTGTGATTATGTAAGTATGCAGCAAATGCTTTGCATCCCAGCTATGTCAGCCTCATTGCACGTGTTAGAGCTGTCTGTGTGTGCACAGTAAATCCAACATGTCTGGAATGCATCAGACTTGCTGGGCATATGTAGATCACCTGCTTGTTGTGGGATTTGGAAATTGGTATATTGCTTCATTAGGTTTGGGCAGGTTTGGGTCATGAAACTAAGCAACCTATCATGAACTGCTAACTGTAAGCCTCGTGCTATTTCTCTTCTCCTATGAGAAACTGTGGGAGTTCTTCACCCTTTGGTAAAGAAAGTTTCTCAGAT